CTCCTTGTACCCTGAGCTGCCAGGACAGGCTCTAGCTGCCCACAACCCTTACTTGCAATAAGTAGGTTGGAAAATGAATGAATGAATGAATACAAGTGATTGTTTAATATTAGATCTTTATTTAGATGTCTGGTGATGTTTTGGTGGCCAGAAATATGTTGTAGAACCATTTGTTGTAGAATCATTTACCATTAACCTATGGTAAACTTGATTTTGTCACACATTATTTCATGTAAGGTCATAGTTTCAAAGAACCAATCATCATGAAGTGAGGACTTATTATGTAAGTTAGGGGTCATGTTCCTGCTATAAGTAATCAAGAACTGAGATAACAGTAGCATAAGTTCATATTAATTTTTTTCTCCCATAAAAAACTGGAGGAGGGTAGGCAGTCTTGGATAGGTTAAATGCTATAGTTTTACACTATCCTTGTCATATAGTTTGCTTCCTCATGACTTGAAAAAGGCTGCTGAAATTCCAGCTCTTACAAACATATACCAGGCACTATGAGAAAGAGGTGTGGGCAAGCTACGTAAGTTACCTTTAAGTGCATTCCCGGATGCTTTTCCCAATAACTTTTGCTTTTTCTCATTTGTCACTTCTAGTTAAAAGGTAAGCTGGGAAATAAGTTTTTCACATTGTTTCTCAGAATAAAAAAAAATTGGAAGTCAGGGAAAATAGATATTGGAAGGAACTAGCAGCCTTTGGATTCTCTCTGGAATGGAGTTAGTCATCAAAGCTAAACCCCTGAGGAAATCATTCTGAAAGCATTCTTCACTAACTGGGCATTGAGACACCTTCTTTGATCTGTTAAGGGAATGGTTACATCCTTTCTTTAGAAAAGGCTTTGCTTACTTTGAGGACTGGAATAGCCATTTTATCAGAAAAAAAGTAAACTCAATTTGTTTTACATATGTAGAGGCTTGGCGCATATACACCCACTAAGTGTCCTATATAATTGAGAGAGTGATCTGTGCCAATATGAAAAACAATAATAAAAAAGTCCATTTTCTTCAGAATTATAATTCTGCTCTTGGAAATGCATCATAATGGAATGATTCAAGGAAACTAGTATATATATGACTGTTCACAGCACTGTTATGACAGCAGTAAAAATTTAAATAGCTTATAATCCAAAAGTCCGACAACAAAGGAAAGGCTTAGTGGAATTAAGGCATGATCACTGAATATCCATAAAGATCATGTAGCAACATGGGAAACGGATTGCAAAATATATTGGTGGTGGGAAGAAAGGACAAAATATATACATGTAAATGGTAGGATTAGAAGGAGCATTCAGAGAACTATCTTTTTCAGGATGCTAGAATTATGAATATAAATTGTTTCTATTTAAATTACTTTTATTGTTCTCTAAATTTCTTTTATTGTTCACCAGGAAAAAGTAAAATACACTTACCTAGGTCACCCATGATTTTCCCCACTCAGATTCTTCTGTTGTCCTCTGAATGATTCAGTCCAAGGTGCTCCCAGGAGAACTGTGCTGCTCTGGGTGAGGGTAACCCCTGAGCTCAGGGAATCATCGTCCTGTGGTTTGTATGTGCCACCTGGGTTGACACACTGATCATGTATCTGAAGAAAAACTCAGGCTGTTTATGTATCATCATAGGACTATTTTTCTGGTAGTAGCAATAAATTTGCAATCATATTTCTAGGGTTGTCTCATGATTAGTTTCATGAATTAGAAGCCAGTCGTCTCCATTTAGATGTAGATTTATAAGCGTCAAAGGAAATACAGAAAAATATGAAACTGGAACCAAACCTATGGTCCCTTAATGTGGTGGGCTCTTCCTGCTCACACCACCAGCACTACCAAAAACATCCAACCAAGTTCTTCTATAAGATTCCTATGCATTTGTATGGTTGTCTAGCTTGGCAAGAACAAGAATGAACTTCAGGTTAAGTGCAGATGTTAATTTTTATTGTGTTGAAGAGTCCCCAAATGGCCTTACTCATTGAGATGGACTGTGGCTTGTGAATGTGACATACACCTGGCCAGCCAGGGAGGCTGGTGACTGCTATGACTTTAGAAAGGATGAAAGAAGAAAACTAGCCAGGGGGATACTCTGAGTAAGGGCAGGGGGATGGAGATCAGCAGTGCCAAATACTCCTCACTTGGTAGAACTAGGAAGGGTGTTATTATCCAGGACAGAGGGGAAGTTCATTAGGAATTACCCACCAACCAAGCCTGAAGACACTGGTACAACCAGGCTCCTGTGTCCAAAGGGCTACAGCCAGGGAAGGACTCCTGGTACGGAGAGAAAAAGTCTTGATCTTCCAAGGATTGAGGACCATGAACTAAAGAGCTGAACTACTTCTTAAAAACAAGATTTCATAAACTTAGAGGAGAAACTAATCTGAAGGAGAACAAAGATGAACATTCTGGAAGATTCTCTGAGACTTTGTCAAATTAAACCACTGAAGTTAATGTGCTTCTAGTCTGTGCATGATACACACACCAAATTTCTTTTACTCTGAAGTGAAATTAACTGTGCGCTTCAAATATTGGGCAAATGTCATAAACTGAAAGAATCTTTGGGGGGCACCTGTGTAACCAGAGGAAAAAAACACAGTAAATTTCAAGGGGTTGGTTTGTGGAGCACATTTTATTTTAGAATACTGGAGAATTAACATCTAGTGGCAGCATAACAAAAAAAAAAAAGCTACACCAATCTTTAAAGCTCACATAGTGGGAAACACATCTTGTGAAAATGGAAAAAAATAAATTAAATTAAAATAAAAAAGCAATAGATTTAGAGATCCAGTTAATAAAAATATTAAAAAAAAAAATCAAACCCATTCCATCATTAACAACAAAACAGCTGTAAAATACATAAGCTACACTCACTTGATATTCCAAGATTGCCATGTTTGTTTTCTATAAAATATGTTCAAATATATACATACATGTATGTGAAATATACACATTCTAGAAGGCAAGAGAAATCTTCAAATTAAAACATTTAATTTATATACATTTTTTTCACTTAACCTAACCAATAACATTAAAAATAGCAGCAACACTGGTCTTTAAATATTATATTACAGTAGGTAGTTGATATATATATTTTTGGTAGTGCTTTCATGATCAATATTATTATCTAAAACAATTTGTAATCTCCAAGGTCTTGGTCTCATTGCCAAGTACCTTAGAGTCTAGATTCAATAAATATCAATACTATATAAAGAAATTTGTAAAACACATACTGCAGAACATTTGCCATACCAAAAGGAATCATATCAAAAGATTTTAGGGAAGAACTGGGTTTGAAGAAATGCTGAGAATCCACAGGACTCCCAAGGCAAAAGAGAGGAATCTCACAAGCTCCCAGAAATGTTAGTATCTAAGTCCTGAGAACTGTGACAATGGGGGAAGAAGGCACTGCCACCTCTTCATGGTTCCGTGTTTCATTTGAACAGTAACATGATTAATTGGAAACTTTCCCACTAAAAAGGCATAAGCTAATTTCTCACCAGGAGGCATGACACCCAACTGGGAGGCTGATACTTATTTTTCAGCATTTACATTTACTCTGATGACCAAAGGCATAAAATCCAAGATTTCAACAGGATCTTATGTATTTAAGGGAGAGTAGGAAAATTATTTCTAAACCCACTCCCAGTCTGTATCACTGGGCTAATTCACTAACTGTATTGACTGAAAATGGAATCCCAGGTGAGGTGACAGGGGTTTCTTCATACCTGGGTTCTGTTACAGAAGTTGCCCCTGCAATTGGGGCCTTTCTCTCTTTATATTTCAAAGGTTTCAGAAAAGGTAAGCAGTTAAGTCTCACAATGGGGTTGAATCTGTGTGCCTTATAAGAAGACGATTCTGACATTTTCATAGTTTGTCCCGATTTACAAACCACTTCATATTCTATTTCAAGTTGCTCCTCACAAAAACATGTGAAACCAGGACAGGTATCAAGTGCTTACTTCAAAGACAGGCAAGTCCAGACTCAGGTCACAGTGACACATTTTGTCCTGGCAACATGCACCAACAAACTGGCAAGGGTCTTCTGGAGTACCTAGCTCCATCCAACAGTTACTTAATTTTAAGAACACAGACTTGGTCATAGTTGTTTTCTGAAGAATGAAGTAATCAGAAAGGGGTAGGGGAAGAAAGAGTTCAAGAGAAAAAAGGGAGAGAAAAAGTGTCCTTTGGCACCTCAAAAGCTTCATAAGAAGCCAAAGTGCATTTCACAAGTACAACACAGACATTTAAAAACATATTTAAATACTTCTAAACAGTCTCACTTGGGCCTTAGTTACTACATCTCTATGTAGTTACTGAGGCTGAAGTTGAAAATCAAGATCATGGAGAAATTTTTACGTGAGTTCCACAATTTCCCAAGAGTCTGTTAAAATGTTACAGTCTGTCCTCAGGACCTCACTTCTGCTGCATTTTACCTCCAGCACAATACCGTTACATTACAAATGTATGTATATTTGCCTCTGTTGGTAGATTTCACTTAAAAAAAATATTGTTAATGAATATTCTTGCTATGTCCTTAGGAAAATTACTTTTTCCCCTCTGGATCTAAGCTGAGAAAGGGCAATAAATTTAATTTTTAGAATTTAATGTTGGTTTCCATTTGGACAGTTGCTGAAGAAGAATGAAAAAGATCTAAATGGCCATAATAATTAATTTTAAAAACTCTCTTATTTCACACAACTTTTTCAAGAAAATTAAGTCATTCTCAGCTTGATAGTTCCATAAAACAAAATTATACTAATTTCATCATACAGTGTGAGAAATGTAGTAATGATATACTATGAACCAGAAGACAGGTTCAATGTCTGGAATGTGACATTCTGAACCATTAATCAATGCTTCATGTTAATCACGTAAAGTATTTTAAAGAAACCGTTGAATTAAAATGGAAACCTTTTGCAATGCCATGTGTGATGTGATGCAAAAGTCTTCCAAGCCCCTTTGTTCCTGTCAGGCACAACCTGGCCCAATACCCACCCACCCCAGAGCCTCCTGACAGTTACATACCCTAATTGCCTCACCAACAGCATCTTTCTGACCCTGGATTGAATAAATGATATACTGAAAAGTAAACTATGCCTTGGCAAGCAGGAAGTTTGACATTTCTTTGAGCTCCTCTGAGGTAGAGGGGTTTCTCCTAATATTCTAATAGTTAAGTCTAGGGATCAGAATTAAGAGACAATGGAGTGTTGGTCATTGTACTTCAATTCTGTTCTGAAATGTGCAGTTATCTGATTATAATCACCACAGAGCCCAAAACCTCAACAGAGTCCTGATTGCTATGTAGAGAATTTAAGACGTTAAGGATGCTGTGTGATTAGTATAAGCCAGAGTTCCTGGTGGGCGTTGTCCAACTTGTTACAAATTGGATTTAACTCCTACACATTTCTAAAAAATTGCCTAGCGCACAGTAGGAACTTAATAAATATCCGATGACTGAATATTTAAGATCCCTGATTTAACTCAGTGAGATTACAAACAAAAACTGACGTTAAAAAACCCAACCATTGCAAGCCACTTTTCACCAAAGGCTACATCACTTTCCATCGTGCATGGAATTGTAGACACCTTTCAAACTCTGAGATGGTTAAGTTCAAATGGTACCCGGTCTGGTACTGTATGTGGTTTCACATTAATTCCAATTTCATAAACCTTATTTCCATCACGATTTTACTATAATGATGTGACTGTGGGATTTTTATCCATAAATAATTTTTCTGAAGACAAAATGATCCACTCTCTCTGTTGTTCTTCAAGCTTTTCTGCCAAGCATTTGATCAAGACAGGGTCCACCTTAGAATCAAATTTATTAGCAAACCAATGTCCATCTTTTATAAGCCACCTTAATTCTGCTGCTCCATAGATACACACACTTCGGAGGTGAGAGCCAGTACAACTGGGGTAGAAAAGGCCTTCATGGTAATTCCATTTGACAAGGCGGGTCTTACTCTGTAGGTCAGACACATCCTGGGCTGACCTAGAAATCTCCCCAGGAACTCCAGGCACCCGAATTAAGGTAGCCCAAAAATGCTCATCAGGTGAGTATGTATCTTCAGACCAGGCAAAAAAGTCTTGAACGAGGGTGTTGTTGAACATATATTTAATAAATGCTCGACTTAAAACAAAGTAAGCACTACCAACAAATATCTCAATGTTATGAGGGGGGGCTTCCTTGGAGATGCTTGTCCTTATTGGTAGCTTCACATATTCATAAGGCACCTGTCTGAGTTCATGGTGAAAAGTGAACCTTTCCATTTTACTGTTCGAGGGCTTCACCGACTCTAACATATTTGCTCCATTGAGTTTCTTCAACTCTGACACTAATTCAAAGTTTGACTTCAAGGGAAAATCTTGCCCACATAAGTTGATAACATATTTCCATTGAACTGAAGACCTGAGAAGGTCTGACAAACAATTTAAATCCGCTTGGAGTCTGGAAATGTGGGCATATTGCACAGTCTCCAATTTGGAAGCAATGAAAATATTGGAGAAGCACTTAGCTAAATTGTTCATGGCAACTTTGAAGGCAGTTGGTGACTTATGATCATAATGGATGCAGTAAATATTGTGCCGGTTGTATATAGCATGGATGAGTCTTTCAACCATAATTGCATCTTTGTGAACAACCAAAGAATAGGCTATGGGAAAGTTCCTTTCCTCCCTTGAAACAAGCTTTTGATGGTAATTTCGTAGGTTCTGATAAATGTCACAATCACTGGTCATTGACACCACATCATCATCTTCCAAGTCAATGATGTCTCTTCTTCTTATTTCCAGACTCTTGCCGATTTCCAAAGGTTCCTGTTCATAGACACCTGAGCAGTTAATTTCATATCCAACTTCATTCTTAATATGGGTGTACCTGTTTCTTACAAAAGGTGAGGTACTTAGAGAGTATTCAACCAAGTAAATACCTCTTTTAGGGAAGAGCAGTCCCCCTACATTTAGAATCTTCAGCAAGGAGAACAGCCATATGGTTAAAAACAGGAGGAACACTTTCTGCTGCAGGAGGTATTTTAAAAAACATTTGAATGTCTTCATTCTGTAAGAGGAGAAAGGAATAATTCAGTTCATATATTAAGAGAAAATTAGTTCAATTTAACCAAAATTCACTGGACCCCTCGCAGACAGATGCCAGACGCAGAGATGTATGTGTGGAATGGGGCCATTTTGTGATATTCTGTGTTAACTGTAACTAATTTTGAGAGATGTTGGCTATCAAATAGATTGGGAAATAATATATACTCCAAAAATATAGGCATCATCTATCTTACATTCTCTGTACTTCTGCTTAACATTCAAGAGGTCCCTGGAGAAGCAAATGGCCCACTCAAGGTTCAAAAGGAACACACATGTGGAGTCTACCTTTAGATTCTGTTAAATCTAGGTGTGAAGTCAGATGAGGAAAGCCCAGCAAATGACTCTACTATGGTAGACAGAATGTTTGTATCCCTCCAAAATTCACATGTTGAACTCTAATTCCCAATGTGATATTAAGAGGTGGTAGCTTTGGGGAGGTGACTAGGTCATGAGGGTGGAGCCCTCATGAACAGATTGGTATTCTTATAAAAAAAGACCCAAAGCATCCCCTTGACTTTTTGGTTATGTCAGGACCCATCGAGAGGACAGCTGACTATGAATTAGGAAGAGGGCTCTCACCAGATACTGAATCTGCCAGCACCTTAATCTTGGGCTTCTCAGCCTCTAAAATTGTGAGAAATACATTTCTGTTGTCCATAAGCCACACAGCCTATGGTATTTTGCTTTCACAGTCTGTATAGATTGTGACATCCACCTTCAGAAATAAAAGTAGTGGGCAGACATCCAAAAAAACTATAGCAGTATTGTTTATAAATTATATAAATGTTTATATAAAATGTTTATAAATTATATAAATTCAGTAAACCTACCTATCCCCTTGTTTTTAATTTTGTTAACCTCCATTTCCTCACAAGGATTAGCTATTTAGTTCTTAAAATGAAAAGAACTTGACTCAGCAAGAGTGGGTGGGGGGTGTAAAGCTATGTTGGAGGTCAGCTTGGTAATATCTTTAAGTGTACCCACCCAGAAGATGGCAAGTGCGTGCAAAGAAGGTGTGTGCACGAGAAGGTCCCCGGTAGGGTTCTTTGTCAGGCTAGAAATGGAAAGCCATGAAGACCTCCTCTAATGGGGCATTGATTAATTACACTCAAGCTTTGTAAAAAAAGCCTGAGACAAATCTGCATGTGCCCAAGTGGGACAGTCTCACAATAAAACAGAACTAAGCAAAATACTGAACCATGTACATACTGCTCACATGTGTACCCCCCAAAAGGCTATACACACACAAGTGTGTACATGCAAAGAGCACGTGTTGGCAAACTTTTCTGTCACAACTACTCAGCTCTGCTGTTGTGGTGGGAAAGCAGCCCAGATAATGTGTAAGTGAGTGGGTATGGCTGTGTTCCAATAAAACTTTATTTACAAAAACAGGCAGCTGGCTGGATCTGGCTCATGAGTGAGTTATTTCCAGAAGCATGCTGTACAGACACCACACTGGGAACAGGAATTGTTTTCCAGAGCAAGGTTGGGAAAGGACTGAGGACTGGAGTCCTGGGTGAGTGAGGGAATTGACTTGTCACTGAAAATCCTTCTGTACTATTTGAATTTTAAAAATGTTAATATGACTTTTTCAGGTGAAAACAGGATAACCAAGAAAAGAGCATAAATGTGGGGTTACTTGGCAGCAACAGGAAGGGGGAATCCAGGGAAGCAATACCCCCAGGCCTGAGCAAAGAGGGCTGGTGAGCTCTGCTGGCTGCTTCAAATAGATTCCAATAGAGAGAACACAGGAGGTCTGAGGATCCCATTTGCAATTTCCTAATTAACCTAATAAACATCCCAATAAACCTTGAAGGAGAAAATAATTATTACACTTAATTTCCTTAGCAAGAAATTGGTGAACCTGATTTATTTCTGTAGGGTTCTTCTATGTATATCTCTTGAGGATGACATACCCCATTCACCTCACTTGAATCACATCAACAATGAACCGCCGTGCCGAACCCACGTCCCCTCCAGCTACGTCACAATCTCTCCTGCCACTGTCCCACGTCCTGTTCTCACCTCGATGGCCTTCACACACACTCTCTTCTCAGCTCCGTGGATTTTGACTTCCACATATACACTGCCAGCATCTGCACCTCCTCCCCAGGCTTCTGACATGAAGATCCAATTGCTTGATGGACATCTCAACTGGATCCCACAGACACTCAATCTCAAAAAGTCCAAAACTGAAGGGGTATTTTTTTTATATCTTTTTTTTAAGATTTATTTATTTATACAACAACTGGGGTACAGGTCAGAGGTGCGAGAGGGTGAAAGGGTGAGAGAATTCACCAGAGAGAGCAGAGAGCAGAACAGGCAGACTGACGGGACGAAATACACTGCTGAGGGGAGCAGTGGGCAAGACAGGAGAGGTCTGCCACGTCATGTGGGTTTCTCCCTGGCCGGCCGGGAATCAAACTCGCGCTGCAGAGATTGCGGACAGCTTCACAGGGCTGTGCTCAACCTGCTGCACCAGCAGGGAGGCCCCTGAAGGAGATATCTTTACCTCTCCTGTGTTTTCTGTCTCAATTTGTGGTGAGATCATCCATTCGATGTCCCAATCTTGGAACATGAGCATCACCAACTCACACCAACTCCTCTCCCCCTTCACACCCACATTAACAAATCACCCCATGAATATGCCTTGAGCCCATTCCTTCTTCCCCACCCCTTCAAAAGGCAGACAACATCTTTGCTGAATCAGCAACTAGGTCAACGGAATCCCAAGCAGGCGCATGGTTCTGGATCCCTTATCAGGTTTCGCTTTCTGTTCCTCTGAAGCAGACTGAACAGTGTTCTACCCTCTCAGGCTCAAGGCCAAGGTTCCTGTTAGTTGTTACAAAGAGTGGGAAAATTGACTCATGCTGCAAAAAGCAACACAGACTACAACCCTAGAAACCTGAGCAAATGTTTGGAATTCAGTGCTGGGATAAAATAAGACTTAAAATATTCATCAATTCTAAATCAATGAGTCAAATAATCAATCGATATTGTCATTGTCCTTATTCATGGTAATTAGGGATAAATAGGAAGCAGGCTAAACAAATGGCTAAATTAAAATAAATCTTACCCAAAGGACCTAATGGACCTAAAGGACCTTTCTTGCTTGCTTGCTTGTTTTTTTGCTTTATCTTTTTCTTACTTTATTGGCCCACAGAATCTTTAACATCAGTTAATAGCTCTCCCTGATACCATAGCAGTAAAGGACCTCACATTCTAAAGAGGTTTATAAAGTGGCCAGAGCTGTAATGTCCTTTATGGGGCACCATTTAATTGTCATCTTCACACTTACTTAAAAAGGAGAAGGCCAATTCACCAGCCTGTCACCCATGTCCGGGGCCTCTCCTGCACCCAGGCTTGCCCTGCCCTTCCTGTGAATACCTAGACACCCGCTTCCTGCCTCCAGCCCGGTGCCTGGAGAGTCTGGCTGAGCAAGACCATGACACCAGCACTGAGAGAAGGTGGGGACAGGCGACCGGGGGAAGGAGAGGTGCAGACACATTGTGAGACGTTCTGGGGGAACTGGTCCTGGGTTCCAGGACCAGGAATGAGAGTTAACTTTAAAGGAAGAAGGTGCGTGAATGAGGACAGGCCCGGTACCTCCTTTCTGATCCTCTTTCGTCCATCTGGGCATCATTCGGGGGAGAGCTTGTTTACCCACAAGTTTTACATCAAGGGAAATAGCCAGCCCTCCAAAGCCACCCTGTTCCAAGTCCCAGCAAAGCCACTTCCCCTGCTCATTATGGCCACAAATTCCTTTGACTGAAAAGCATTCTTTTACTCAAATTGAAAATAAAAAGGGGTAAAAGTGCAAGCCCGTTAGTGTGCATGAACTTGTGTCAAATCCTGAAAGGCGTGACTGGCCTCTTCCCAGCTGCGGTGACAAGTCAGCATGTACCCCACCCCCACCCCGACACCCCAATACCAGCAGGTTAGAGACCACGCTTCTCTATGAAAGCACAGAATCAAACTACAAACTGGGGAAAAGGCCTCTGCCTCAGTTAGCCATAAGCAGAACCCTTAGAATACTCAGTTGTGTCCCATAAATCACTAACATATTATCTTCCTTAGAAAGCCTTGCACAAACCTCCAGCACCAGCCTGCATTCCTGATGAGTTTTGTTGACAGATGAATCGCGGAGAACACGAGACCACCCAGTCCGCCCAGATGATACCAGCACAACAACCATGAGCTTGCAAAAACATGAAGAAAAGTGGTAACAGCGGGGCCTGAGCAGCCACAATGATCAGCCGAACCTCAGACACCCTTCTAAGCATCCTAGCCCAAGCCCTACGATTTGAGACGGTGTCTTGAGGATATGAAAGCGCCATCTCCCTAGAATAGTAGTTTTCTGTGTGCACCTAGCTTTCCTAACCCCAGTTCTTGTCTTTCTTGTTTGGCTTAGGAGTGTCAAGTGGCTGAAATTAGATTCTTTGGCAACACCTACCATGGCTCTGCTTTCCTGGGACACAGTGCCCTACCCCCACCCCCAAGCAGGGTCATCTAGGGAGCCCCAAGGGTCAGGAGCAGGGGTGGAGATGGGCTGGGGACAAGTGGCACCACCTCCCTTTCCTGCCACCCACAGGCCCCAGGCTTGGAGGGGATGGAAAGAAGATTCTGAGCAGAGTGGACTGCTCTAAAGTGGGCAGTCAGGCTGGCCACATGGTTTCTAGGCTACCAGGACAGCAATGCCACCTTCTGCAAACATCCCACCCTGGTTCTTTCCCTCTTAAAGACTCACTGCTAGGGAGTAAGCAGGTGTTTTGGTGCTTTTGTTAGTTGTTACAAAGTTAGTCCCATAGTTACAAAATTAGTCCCATAATTACATTACAAATAATTTTCCATCCATGGGAGAAGGAGTACTTTGCCTATCATCTGCCCTAGTTGATGGAGAAGCCCCACCTGCGTGGCATGCGTTGCCCAATTGGTACAGGTTGCTAGTGATAGTGATAGAAC